TTTCACTGAAGCAGAGATTCTTGACTCAGGTGATCAATGTAAAATAAGACTGAACGATGCCTCGAAATATGGACAACTGTATACAGCAACTCACACCCAGTAGACTGGTGTAGTATGCACCAAGATTCTGGAAAAAATATATTTTCAGACAACGCTAACTCCACGTGGCTGTGGAGATTGTCACCGGCTTTGCTGTTTCTTTCACTGAAGGAGAGATTCTTGATTCAGGTGATCAACGTAAAATGAGACTGACCGACACCACAAAATATAGGCAACTGTATACAGTTTAAAAAGACAAGGGAACAGAGTTCTAAAAATTGAACTTTTCGACACTGAAACGTGTCAATGGCATCTGTCGCAGATTGACAGACTGACGTATGTCCAGTACAAGGTACAAGGCAGGCACCGCGCAGGGGGGAGGGGCTGGGAGGGCTTTTGCCCTCACTTTTCACGAGATTCAAATTATGTCATTCGCGATTTAGTCTCAGATATTCGTGGTGGGTTTTTTTTATCATATGACGAATACATAGATATCAGAAACAAGGAGCAATTAAAATTATTAAAAATTATTAATACGTTTGTTAATTTCAGATTCATTTCCAGCCATTTCAGAGGACGTCAAATCAATTTTCGCATTTAAGCACCCCACTCAAAAACCCACTACGTGGGCGCACATAAACTAAAATTTTAAATTTTTTTATCCGCCTATTTCCAATCTATTGAAAATACAAAATACTTCTTGAACTTGAATAGAATAAATTTATAGAGCGCTCGACTCTGAGAGGAGCAGTGTAGATAATAAACAGTGGTAGCAAGACTTCNATTTCACAAACTGGCAATTAAAAGCTAACTTTAGGTTGCTATGAGATATGAAAACAGTTGCTATGATATGGAAAAACAGATGCTATATAACATTGAAAAACTGGCAATAAAAAAAAATAACATAATAATAAGAATAATAAGAATAAGAATAAGAATAAGAATAAGAATAAAAAGTAAAATAAGAATAAAAAATTAAGGGGGTGCTATGGGATTTAAAATCTGAAATACAAAATATATATATTTTAAAATGATTTATAGGGAGGGGGGGAGAGGCGGTTTTTGTTTTACTTGCCCTGCCGGCTTTTCTTCCTTCAATCATTTCATCTTTTTTCTCCCAAAATAAGGGGAGGCCCGGGCCTCCTGGGCCCCTCCCCTAAGTGTGCCACTGAAAACCATCCCAATAGTGCACTCTGAACTAGAAACTACAAAAAAAATTCACAAGAAGTCTCTGAATAGGAGGCTTGGTACCTCAGCATCATTGCTGTGGAGACTAGCCGCCCGGAACAACAAGACATGAACCCAAAATCAATATGGCGGAAAAGTTGGTTGCTGTTACTGTAAAACTAAGACAACGTGGAACTTTTTAAGACAGCTGCTTTTCTCTATGCTGTTAGTATGCTCATTTTTCAGATTAAAAGAATTAATTGAAGTGAAAAAAGGTTGAACTACAGTCGAACCTCCGGTTGCGACCACCTCTCGTAAGCTGCGTAAGCGACCACCTCCCCTCAGCGACCAGTTTTCCAAATTACCAAAAGTATCCGAGTCAAATCACTATATTTGGAACCTCCTGTAAGCGACCACCTCTCGTAAGCAACCGCGACCACTTTTAGAGCTGAAGGATTGAAATTTTCTTTTGTTTTTAACCTCCAGTAAACGACCACTTGACAGATAATAGACCAAGAATTGTATTTAAAAAAATTGTATTAAAATTAACATTATCGCATTGCTCGGTTGTACAAGAGACGGGCATTTCACAACGGAAAGTATCGGATTTTCTCTCGAAATTGACTTTTCACGTGAATATTGAATTTAAAACACGGGATAATATAAGTCCCTGCAGTAACCATATGCTAATGAGGCAAAATTTTGACCTATTATGGTGTAAGTTCTCGTAAACGACCACCTCCCGTAAGCGCTTACGGGAGGTTTGACTGTACGTCATTACNTTTTTTTTTGGAAAATGGCTAAAATTTGGGTGTGTCGGGCGACGGTGAACGGAGAAAAAAAAAAGAGTACGGCCTGACAAGAAATTTTTTAAAACAGAATAGTTCACAAAGGTCTCTTATCATTCGGTAAGTGCGTACTTTGTTTTCTATCTCTGTAAGACTGTAAGTAGTGAATATTGTAAGTATTGTGACGTTTGTATTTAAAAACAAATAAATTGAAACAAATAAATGAAACAGTTGTGACAAAGGCTACAAGTCAAACGTCTCCAAGACGGCCACCTTGGAACGGAGGAAAGTGGCCAGAGGAGGTCGTTATGGGTAGGTTTGGGTGAAATATGACTTCTTTGTCTTTCTCGGGGGTGCAACATTCTTATCTTTAAAAAATGCTTATTCTAGCATGTCGATAAGTAACGCAACTAAGGAGGCTGGTAAAAAAAAAAATTAAGGTGGCTCTGAATTCCTTTACAGAATGTTTTTAATCTTTGTAAAATGTTCCATCTGGTCATGCTCATCACAATTCGGTAATAAAAAATAGGGGTCATCGAGCTCGTTTTTGAGTTATAAGCACTTAAAAGCTAAAGTTAAGGGAGTTTTCAACAGGTTTTATTGTTGCTATTTTAACCTGTTATATGTATAAAGGATGATCGCAACTTGCATATTGTTTCCCAATGATTAAGCACTTGTCTAATACCATTATTGTGGCATCACTTGATAAACAATGATAGCATTCATCCTTCAAAGTATAGCTATTAGAAAAGTGCTGGAAACTGTTGCCAGCCTCCTTAAGATGTATCAATAAAAAAGAAACAAGAGACCAACGACGCACGGTA